ACCCAAAATTTTTTTTTTTTTTTTTTTTTTGCCGTATCTCGCTTGTCTTTTATTTCAGATTTTCATATCATTCGACAGTTTGCGTTCTCAGTGCTGAGGACTATTTGCCAACAGAAGGGACACAAATGGGATTTCTTTCGAAACCATGGTATTTAGACATATGTTTCTTTTAAGCAAAACATCTTCCAAACCTCTCAGCTGCCAGGGAGATCCTGAAATTAAATGTCTCCTGGGGCTTGGACCCCGTAGGAACCTTGTATTCGGCGGGCGGGCAGACCCGATGGAAGAGACCTTCCGTCCGGCACCATACGACCCGGGGACACTTGCGTTCGGATCCTAAGAACAACAGCGATGCCTAAAGGTAGAGCCACCGCTTTCAAAACGGGACCGGTGTTCCCCCAAGCGCTCGTCTAAGCAGGCGGGTGACCGATCGGGCCCTGAGGCCCAGCCAGTTTGGGAGGAACAGGCCTCCTACCTGCAGCGGCGGAAAGCCCTTGCCGGTTAACGTGGGTGATTGCACAGAACCTCCCCAGTCCCTAGAAACGACCAGCCGCCCCGGAGCGCTTGGGAAACTGCTCCTTTTTCTCCCCGCGGGGCTGTGCCGCCAGGGGTGGGGTTTTCCCCTTTTATTCCAGTGAGAGCGTGAAATGTTTTCCAAACTGTGGGGTCCCTACCCACTAAGTCGGATCATTAGGCCCCCAAAGGCACTAGAAGAAAGGCCTCGGTTAGGCTCTTATCGCAGATATCAGAGCCTAGCACAGAGTGCGCATGTGTGTGCAGGTGCGTGCACAGGTGTGTGCCGGGGGTGTCCACACGCGTGTGCAGCGGTGCTCACAGGGCCACAGTGGAAAGTGTGTCTCCCGCAGGCTCAGGTCCTGGGGCCGGGGAATCACCCCGTCACTAGTGAGACCGGACAGGATGGGACCTCGTGTGGCCTCGGGGGGGGGGAACCTGCCGGCCTCCCGCCCCCAGGCGTCCGGTGCCGCCTCCCCCTGCGGTTCGCTTGTCCACACGGGTACAGACCCCGCGCTTCGGGCCGCGTGGGGGTCACGCGAGAGGTGGACGCCACCGTGAGACTCATTCCCTTTTCTTCTCACTTTGAACCATCTGCCCCCCAAAGTAACTCCATCCCGTTGGCTAAGCCCTGAGGCCTTGACTCTAAACCAGGGTTTTTTTCAACCAGCACATTGGAATTGACCATCAGGCCTCATCATTTTTCCGATTTTGATAAGCGCGGGGACGTCTGTAACACCGACTTCCTCCCCGGGTTTGCCCCGTCGCCACCGCCTCACGGAGACGGACCCTCGTCCTCCCTGGTCCTTCAGCTCCCACATCACCCGCGTTTCCCGCGAGGGCCCCCGAGTCCCACCCCTCGCACCCCTGGCTGCAGCCGCCTCCCCACCGACTCCACAGACGGGTCAGTTTTCATGGAATCGTCTCTTAACAGTGACCCCATTTCATAGACGGAGAAGCGGAGGCCCAGAGAATAACCGTCAGGTTTCCTAGCAGGTGTCTGCTGAGGACCAGACCCGCCTCTCTTCTCATTCAGTTTCCCAAAGCCCCGAGCTGGGACCTTCAAGGTCCTTCCAGCCTAAATTCCAGCCTTGTCTGCAGGGATTCTAGTCCGGCAGCCAAACCGGCTCCCGCCCCACCCACATCCTTCACTTCCTCATCGGTAATTCATTACCTTTCCTGTGAGCCCCGAATGTCTCCCCAGCTCCCCCCCCC